ATGCCCCTAAATGATAATAAAAAAGGAACAAATAAACACCAAAGTGCCACTTTTTCCCACTCTAACCTCTTGGAAAGAAAGAAAGAAAGAAAGAAAGAAAGAAAGAAAGAAAGAAAGAAAGAAAGAAAGAAAGAAAGAAAGAAAGAAACCACTATAGTAATACGCAGGCTTTTAGCTATTTAGATGAAAAGCAAAGCTTCTGTTTTTCTAAGGCACTATTTTGACCTCAAGTAGATAAAGCACATTAAACAACAAACATTCTGCAAAGAGTTACTGTGTTCTTCCCCCCATCGACTCTGTTTACATTAGGAAATCTACCCAGGGACTGAGGGGAAGGGGAAGGCGGGAAAGCTGCCTTTCATCGGCTGCTCTCAGTTCCACTGGCTCCAGTTAAAGCTGGCCCCTGTTTCTCGGTAAGCTTACTCCACTCCAGATGTGCCTCGGCTCCAGAGTGGCTGCCATGTACAGTAAATCGGCATCTGAGGGCTCGTCAATCTGTGGAGTAGAGCAATTGTGGTCTCGCCAGGCCGCCCCACTGGCACAAACAGAAAGTTGTGCTGCTAACTGGTGAAGGAGCGCGGGGGGTGGGCGGCAGGGAGAGGAGCAGGCAGGAAGGACTGGGTCGCCGGCAGTGTGTGAGAGGTGAGGGGTTAGTGCCCGACAGAAGACGGGGAGGGCTCCTGGGGAGGTGGTCCTCCTTAATGCATTTGCAAAATTACTCGTAAATGTTTTACGCATTAGAAGCAAAGGGGAATGCTATATAGCGTTTGGAATTGTTGGCCGTCTATAGGTCCCTGTGGAGACGCTGGTTTAGTACGACTTGTAACCAGAGCAAGAGAAACATAAAATAGCTTGGGAAACTCAGCCAATTAGTCATTACATTGTAGAATGTAAAATCGTGAAAAAGAGAGGGAGAGCAAGCAATGGCTCCAAACCATTTGCGTTTTGGTGTGTATAATAAGAGATATATATAGAAATACATTTCATTTACATCGTGGGAGTAAAGTGGCAGGAACAAGGTGCTTTGTACTAATGATAATGTGGTCATTTGCACGAGTTAAAATGTGATGATTCTAACCTAATCCTTTATGTCTGCTCACACCAGCCATGCTGCATTTGGGAACCTTGCTGTGGTGGACCCAGGATGCAGTGAGCACACATTGGTATGGTCACAGACTTTATGTGCCTTGGCTTTATTTCCGCATCCTTCCTGCCCGCCCTGTGTTTCCCTATAGGATCATCAGCCAAGTCGGGGTTGAATAGGAATTTTTTTGCCTGCCCTGAAGTACTTTTATTCACCTGCTCTGTACTGAATTTGGGAAATATTGGTGTTTAGAAGTCAGTGCTGTAAAATGGATTGATTTGGTTGCATGGTTAAATATGTCACATTGTTGGCACAAAGGCACAAGAAAGGTTAAGGTGGAGATCAGGTAACAGGTGAGCGTCCTTAGGCACTTTTGAAAGCGAACGGTGTTTCCAGAGGTCAACTGTTCAGGATTGTGGCACCCATAGCCTGGATGTGAAATGTTCCTGAGGCTCAGCTGCTGCACCTGCCCAGAGTTGTGGGGTCCAGGATTGGTTGGGGCAGGTAGACCTCCCTACTTGCCATAAGGTCGGGCCCAGGCTTTTTGCCTCTTGGAATGGACAGGGTTTGGCTCACCCAAGGTAGAAATTGTTAGGTTCCTACTCTTCTCATTTGCAGATACTATAAATAAACTGTGGCTCTAATTCAACCCATCACTTGTGTCTTGCCTCTTTATTTCTGGGTCTGTTCCCAAATCTGATTTCTCTTCTCAACATTTATCTCCTGTTACTTTGGAGACTGACAAAGAGATTATCTAGGTTGTTTTCTTTAGTATAAAATGCGCTTTACTTTCTGGCCCCCTTGCTGCCAGAAAGTAATGATGCTTTTAGGAAAGTGAACTCATTAACATAGTGTTTGACATAATTAAGGGACATTTGGTTCTGTTTTCCGATCGCAGATTTTATACTCTGCGAATGTAAATTAAATTTGCTGAGATGATATTGCCCAGTATTGACAATTGAAATAAGCAATTTTTAAACAAAACAAATAATTCAAAGTCACGGTTCTAGGTTATGTTTAATACAAAGGGAGGAATTAGTGCACCCTATGCCCGCTGCTCTCTTACACATACTCACACCTGAGTAAATAATTTAAACAGGAAAAAGAATCCACAGTGCAGGCCTCATGGAAGTATGACACTGGATATCCTTCATGTACCAGACCACAAGAAAAAGCAACGGCATGCTTTATAGTACAATAGTCAGTTTGATCCAGCCTCTTATCTACTCCTGATAAGATTCTACAAAGACCAATAGGTCACCTCCGGACTGTCAGTATTTTTCTGGAGGGATTTAGGCACATACAAGAAAGATAGGTTTGGCAATTGAAATGAATTAATGTGCTCTGCTGCCGTGGTGCAACAAACTCACTTTTTTCCAAAATGGAAAAAAGTGTAGGAGAAATGCACTGAGAAGTATGGAATGAACAAATTATCAACAGGAAGATGTATAACCACCACACAAGCAAATCAGGATGAATTCTCATTGTCCAGGCACCAGGTTAGGCCATCCCCACAAACAAATTGGAACAAATGTTCAAGAAAGACGAGGCATAGGCTAACCTCCATACAAGTTTTGTGTAAGCAGATCAGGGTGAGAGCTCAATAAGCAGGTTGTTTGGAGGAATCCAAGGAGACCCTTCAATTTTGTTGTCCTTTGTTGCTGATGTTAGTGCATTTCAATGACCTAAACATAAAATCTGTCAGTGACTGTTTATCGTATAAAAACCAGACCATTCCCAATTGTTGTCCAGTGTCCAATTAGTGGTATGCTCTTGACACCTGCAAAGCTAAGTGGCATAAAATCTGCATCAACACTATTAGGTAGTACAGCAGAGTTACAAAACATCCGGCTGCTGCAGTCTCGCTCTTTGTTGATGTTACCAAAAGAAGTTAAAAATATAGGCTCTTGATGATGTGCCTGACTTAGATGGTTATATTTACTGGTGTGCAATTTATAAAGCTGCTTCCCTCTAAGTGTTCTTTAAAACTGAATAAATAAATAAATAAAATAAGGAAAAGTATTGTGAACTCATCAACATCAGCCCTGTTAAGGAAACAAATTATTTGAGCCAATTTATCAACACTGAGAATTTCTTCATGACAAGGAAATACGTTATTAATCAAGATTCAAGTTGCAGTTAAAGCACATTGTTCAAACCTCGGAGTTCATTATAAAGCTATAAATGGAAATTTGAAAAAAAGGAAAGAGGATGCTGATTTTTTAACTAGCTAGAGCTGAGGCTGCATTTTTACTCCATACTAGGTTGTTTACACACCAGACATGTTGCTGATGTAGACTCAGGCAATCTGCAGTAGGCATCTGGACAGTTGTATGCATACAGTCCATGCAGTCTGAACTGAAGGTTATGTTGGTGGCTGCACTGTGTTGGAAGAACCATTGTAGTACCAAGTCATCATGTGTCACTCTTCCTATGTTCCTGATAGCCTTGCCTTCTCATCTCTTTAAGATGCAATGCCTTGTGAAGCTTCAAACCAGCCTGCTTAAAGGGCTGCTGTTTTCCCTGAGTTTGCTGTACCTTCCAGCATTTGAGCAAAAGCTTGAGGGAAGGGCCATAGCCCAGTGGCAGAACATTGGCTTTGCATGCAGAAGGTCCCAGGTCTCAATCCCTGGCAGCAGCTTCAGGTAGGGCTGGGGGGGGGGAGGGAATCTTGCCTGAAACCATGGAGAGTCACTATCAGTCAAAGTAGACAATACTGCACTAGATTTTACAGATACATGGTTTAGGGTGATTTAGATTGCAAGTAGTCACCAAGCAGTGCAATACATGTGGATTTGGACTATCTGCCAGGATAATCAGAAATAAGAGCCAGTGTAGTATAATGAGTAGACAGTTGGACTGGAGGTTCAATTCCCCACTCTGCCTTGAAGCTCACTGGTTGGCCATGGACCAGTCCCTCTCTCTGCCTAATCTAACTCATGGGTTGCGAGGATAAAATGGGAGAAGGGAGAACTACATACTCTATACTGAACTCCTTGAATAAATTATGGAATAGAAAATCTATTTAATAATTGGGATCAAAATCTTCTTCACAGTAAAGATTTGAATCCATCATGCATTTGAATCCACCATACACAAGACTGCAAATATTAATGTACAATGGGGAGGGTCGTACTCCAAAGGCACCCTTAAAAATATTCAGCTAAGAGGATGGTCTTCAGCTCCCCGTATTGTTGATTCTGACTGAACATCCAATGTTCCCTAGCCACAGTCTTAGAATTCCTAACTTAGGCACTTGGCAAGCAATCTCATGTTTCATACATTTAGCATCCAGTAGTTCTCAGGCAATAGTTTCACGATGTAAGATGCTTTAGAAAAACCAGGCCATTAATTTTTGCAGCTAAATGTGGACTTTGGAAGCCAGCTTTAGATCCTTTATTTTGACAATCTGAACCCAAAGTTCACCCCATCTCAGACTTCTCTGTGGTTTTTGGTATCTGCAGCTTTTATTGATCGTTGAACATTGATGGCTCTTGGCACTTGTTTGTTGATTAACTCATTCCTCAAGATGCTTAATTAGTAAAAGATCTACATTGTGGAAAACACTGTTTACACAGAGCAGTCAAAGCCCTCTCAATCAATTAGATATGCTTTCTGGTTTGTATTCTCCTCAGAATCAGTGCCTTTCTTTTTTCAGCCCAGAGGGCCAAGAATCTGTATTCTGGTCACCTCTCGGAAACCACAGGAGATCTTGTAAATGCCCTGACCCCTCACACTAGGGCCTGATATATCATGCGAGGACTGTTCAGAGGATCTGTAGAGGAATTTCTTCAGCACAGAGGGAGGCTGACCAGCAATGTGACCTTCCATAAAGACAATATGAAGCAGCTCCCATTGACAGACTGAAAAGACTTCCTCTAAAACTCATTTGTGGGCACAGTCTGCTCTCCTAGAGCACTGCAGATTGATGTCCTTAAGTCTATGTTACTGATTATCCCAAGCAATTCATGCTGTGTTCTTTGTCTTATTTAATGAACAGAAACACCAAGGAGAGCTAGTAAGACATGGAGAGTTTTACATCCCAAAATGTCTTGACAATGGGCGTAGACAATTGCTCTAATGTACAGGTTTGAAATGTTGCATTGTTTTTATTTTCATTCCGAGACCTTTGTGTCGAGAGTGGAGCAAAAGAGGAGAAAAGGACAGCATACTGGATTGGATCCAAACTTACCGTATGTTATTTGAACTTACCTTCCATTAACATCAATGGGCATTAAGTCCTGACTAACTATCCCAGATGGTTTCTATGGTAATTAAATGTAACTTACTTAGTCTAAGTTCACATGTAACAAGCAGCTTTGGAAAATGTGTAAGTGCACCTTGTTGCCCGCATTTCATTAGCTTTCCATATATTTGTAGTTCCTGTTATTTATCTATGTATTCATGTTCATGTGCAGGCACATGGTCCTGTGTATGGACTTCCAGGCTTTTATGATCCAAAGTGGAAGAAAATATTTAAATACAAAACATAGTCACCTCAAAGACTGCCTTTCCTCATATGAACCAACCTGCATGCTGTTATCATCATCTGAGGCCCTTCTTCATGAGCCTCCTCCACCAGAGGCCTAGAGGGTGGCAACACGAGAACAGGACTTTTCTGTGATGGCTCCCTGTTTGTGGAATGCTTTCCCCACCCCAGGGAGGCTCGCCTAGCACCTTCATTACATATCTTTAGGTACCAGTTGAAAACATCTCTCTTCCATTTCTCTTGAACATTTTATGGCCTTTGAAATGTGTTTGTGGGAGTGGGGTTATTGGTCTGTTTTTGCTATTGTTTTATTATATAATTTGTGTTCTCATTGTGAACCAGTCTGTGATCATCATATGAAGAGCAGTATACCAATTTAAATAACAACAACAACAACACTGGCACATTAGCAACATTAAGCTTTAGGTACATTTCAAAAGTACTTAATTGCAGGATGTGTTTCCTTCCCGCTTCCATTACTAAATGGAACAATTCAGTAATGCAGAGCATCAACCAAGGTTTCATCACAGTGGCTTGGATGCTGCAGTTCTGCTCAGAGAAACGTGATATAGTGGTGTCATGTTATATAGAAAAGACCAAAGTGTGGTGAGCTACATTGCAAGATTTTTTTTTACTGTTTTTACTGCACATGCCCCCTTTCTCTCCCCCCGCCCCCAGTAGCTAACTAGTTTTCTGATTGCGTAAAATGTGATTTTATTTTGCTGTTGAACCATCCATTAGGTATGCCTCTGCTTCTACCTATAAGATCACCAAATCTAATACCACTTCCTATACTTGAGATACCACCTATACTTCTGTGGGGAAAGAATGAAACCATCCAGGTTTGCCAAATTACTCCTACTCAAACCGTCCATATGCATTTATGAAGCTGCATTTATGAATTGCATTTATGAAGCTGACCTAATTCAGCCACATGAAAGGACTGGAACATATGAGGCTCCCTTATAATGCAGCAGCTCTCTTAGGTTATTCATGGCCCAGGACAAGATAGCTGGTGTGCTGCTGGGCAGGAGGTGGAGGAGATAGGGAAGCATGGGGACTGTTCTCCAGGCAGCCAAGAGCACAAGGAGGACAAGGAAGCAGGAAAGAGGGGCTGAACTTTACATCTTTATCTGAAGTCATTCGCAACTTCTTTGCTGAGCCCGCAAGTCGTAAATATTAATGACAGATGTTTGAACAATTCTCACATTTAAAACCTGTTATTCACAAAGTCACAAATTACAGTTCAGGGGGAAGAATAAAGGTCAATGGTGCAACCAATCTGGGATGTGTGTTCTTCTAGTCCTAAGTATACATTTTGTGCTCACAGTTTGCGAGGTGCTGAAGTGAGTGGCAGCTCGTTTTACAAGAGCATGGCATATTGGGGCTAATGGTAGTGAGGTTCCCAGCTTTCCTGCTTCTCCGCTAGGATCTTCTTTGAGTCTGCAGAAAAACGCTGTGAGTTTTCAGATATAAATTCTTAAGGGAGCCAGAGAGCTGCACCTTTCATGAATTAATCCAGGGTTCTTAAAATGCATGGTTCTGTTTAATGTGGAACATCTGACACTAGGGTTTGCATATCTCTTTGTTCACATGCAGAGTATTAAAGGGAAATGCTGTGTAATCAGTTTTAATCAGGTCAGGGAGGGAATCAGGACACCCATTTACTGGCAAAATCCCAGACACTGTGGGTACAGAGTTTGGAAATCCTATAAATGCATTTAGTTTTATATTGAATGACTTAATCCTGTTTGGCTGCCCTATATGGGGACTTGAAGAATAGGCATGGCTTTACACCGAATCCCATTCTTCACCTGTTTTTTGCAAACTGTTTTTTCTTAAACTTCAAAAGACATCGCAGATGGTTGGCTGATGGTTAAGCTATGTTTGCTGCTTTAACCAGATAAACTATTAATTGATATTATGCTTCTGCAAAGGAGATGTCTAGCCACACAGGATGAATGTTGCACTTAGGAGAAGACATGGAAAACTACACTTGAAATCAATGGGTGTATGCATGCAAAATTGCAGGTGCAACTTTATGACAAATTAATATGGGAGATAGTACATTTCTTAGCTTGTTCTCTGTTTCTGCTCCTTTTTAGTTCAGCCACTACTCAGTCCAAATACATAGGCTGATAGCAGACATTTGTCTGAGTAACCTAAACAACTGCTAGCCATCAACAAGCCTTACAAGTGGAGGTTTTTATCAGTCTGTATCTGTATTGGATTTGAAATTGTTTATATATATGAAAATGTTTATATGTGTCCTTTTTGTTGATGTTTTAAATTGCTTAATTACTTTGAAAAGTTTCGTAGGAAGCAATTTATAAATGGAAATGGAATTCGCTATGCCAATTGTAAGCAGAGAAATTAGAGGCACCATTTTGCCAAATTTCTCCAGGGAGAGAAATTATTCAAAGGTTCTCATGAGTGGAGCTCACCATTAGCAGTGGCCGTAGCATAGCTTGCTTCATTTTAATTAGGTAGTTATATCATCCTTCAAAAGGCTTTCCCACAGCAGTTGGGGAATTAATCATATGCAACTACATATGGAGATCCTGTTGGTGCATTTATTTCATAAAATTTATACACTGCTTGTTTATATATATAAAAACACAACCTCAACATGGTTTACAAAGAGAATAAAACAATAAAATTACCCGTAAAAACAATTAAAAACCACTATTTTAAAAATCAACAAATTGTTGTGAGAATAAAAGAGGTATCAAAAACTGTGTACGCCATCCTGAGTTCCTTGGAGAGAGGAAGAATAGGCCAATAAGGAAGAGCTGCAGACCTGCTCTTCTAACATCAGAATTGCTACAACTCATCTAAATGGAATCAGCTATATTTATCCATCAACCCATAGGTTGCACAAAATTTAATTGTGTTATACCATGGTACTATGTTCTAGATGTGCATGCCAAAGGAACAAAGCAGTTTACTAGGATTGTACATCAGATTTTGACAAATCCCAAATCCTGAACTAGCAATGTACCACATAGGGAATTACGGGCTGATGAGATAGATAGATGATAGATGATAGATAGATAGATAGATAGATAGATAGATAGATAGATGATAGATAGATGATAGATAGATAGATAGATAGATAGATAGATAGATACACATACAGTACACACACACACACACACACAACACACACACACAGCTGCCCTTCTGGGAAACCACTGCATCTAAGCTTCTGACATTTGGCAGAGCCTTCAGAAGGATCCAACGTTGCCTGAAAATTTAATCCAATTCTGCTCAACAATTAAGAAGTTATAGATGTTTCTTTTTCTAAAAAAACAAACAAACAAAAAACCACCAGCAGCAACTCATATTTTAAAAGTGCCCCACTCAGAAGTTCCTGAACAGATTTTAGCTATGATCTGGCAAGCTTTATCCACTCTGGAGAGGTACTATGTCTGCAAATTTTACCTACTTATGTCATAAAGAAAATAAATTTTAGCATGTTTTTACATTTCCCAATAGTGAATTGGAAAGAGCAAAGTAGAGTTGGACAGAACCCAAGCTGTAAGCATATAGAAATAAAGAAGGGTCCCTTTACCTTTCTGTGTTGCTAACACTAAGTTGTCAATCAAATGAAAAATCTCCAACAAAAGCTCTTAATATTCTTAATTACCTCTAAAAAGTAGATCTCAGCATCTTGCTTTGATAACTTGCCCTTTGACTTTTCAGTGCTAGCCTTAGACCCTTTTTGCACCTAAACGCACAGTCAAAATGGTGCCCGTTTGCTCAGGACCAGGGCCTAGATTACAGGAAACTGGCATTACTTCTGGACTCTGCTGTTTGAAAAAACTGCTTCATTTGCTTCATTGTAAACTGACTCTGATTACACAAAACTTCCTTTTAATATTCTGCACGGGAAGAAAGAGATTCTGCAGGCCCTGCTGTCAGATGTTCCACCAGATGTTCCTCTTGGCTAAACTTGCTGATATGCCTACTTCCATTTCTTGAAGGCCACATTTTAGCATAGCTAAAGATGGATTTGATGAAGTGGTAACAGATTTGGTCAATTCCAAATCTTAACTCCTTGCAGTAGATTTTTGAAACCAAAAGTTTAAATTCAGCATGTCTTGCCTTTCATTAAAATATCTCTCACCAAAACATTTAATAAAACAAAACTAGGATTTTACTGAATGGCTGATACCCATGGACATCTAATATACTTTTGTCCCTTCCATCCAAGGTGGCATTTTATGGGCTTGATTTGCCTGGAGGGAACTGTGGTGCAGGGATATACTCTAGTAATTCTCACCTCCCACACACAGGACAATCAAAACAGTGTAAGAAAGAAATTCAAAACAGCATGATCATCCCAATAACTGGAAAGGCATCTTGAAAATCTTAACTGTCCTTATGGCACAGAAGCCGTCAAGCGACTGCTCTTTGTTACAACAAGTATTGCTCAATAACCAAACTCTGCACAAATTAACATACTTGGCAGAAATATCCTTGTTTTCTCATTTCATGGAAAGACACTGGCTCACTCCCCAAACTGGATTGGTAGGTAAAATAACAAAAGCACTGATCAGACTATTTTTAAAAAAATAAGAATGGCAATGTGTGTGTCTCTTGAGGTTCTCAGACAATGAGTAAAAAAAAGTCCACATTTCTTAGCCTGTTATAGCATGTTGCCTGTTTGGCTGTTGATGTTAATTTAACTGAGGGGCATTC